CCCCCCCCCCCCCGGCAAGGGCGGACCAGCTAAAACAGGGCCAACGAGGGGGGGGGAAAGCCGGGCCTGGAATTTTTTCTGACCCCCCCAGCAAGGGCGGACCGGCTAAACAAGGCTGACGAGAGGGAGGGGAAGCTGGGCCCCGGGCCCCCTTCCAGACCGCCGGGCCCTGGTAATTTGTACCAGCTTCTCCCCGCTCTCGTTAGCCCTGGAGGTCAGTTAAGAGGTGTGCTCCAGTGGAAATCCCAGCTCCATTTGTTTTGTCAAAACCTTCCAGGGTTTGTCTCATAATAAATCCTGTATACATGCTGGAAAGACTTGGGGACAGAATATATTCTTGCCTCACACCCTGCCCATTGGAAAAATCACTTGCTGTCATCTGCGACTGTTTGCACCATGGTCTATTGTGGACAGTAGAGGCTTATACTGAGTTTAATGAGATGCTTTACAATCCTCAGGTCTGCCAGTATTCTCCAAAGAGGGTCATGCTTTTAAGTAGTCAATGAAACACAGTATCAAAGAGTGATTATACTTTCTGCATTTTTCAATGATGTTATAGATGTTCATGATTTGATCACGTGTGCCTCGTTCCTCTCTGAAACCAGCTTGTTTTGGTGGTAGTTCTGCCTATATCATTTGCTTAATCTGATCCTGGATTATGTAGAGCAGAACTGTGCTCGCATGAGATATCAGGGTGAGAATAAGATTGTTACTATGCTCTGATGTCTCCTTTCTTTGGTAAGGGCAGAAAGATTCCCTTTGTCCAATCATCCAGCCAATTTCTAGTCATCCAGACATCATTACCAGTTGTCATAAGAAAAAAAATCACAGTCATCAATCGCTTTTAATAATTCTGCTGGTATGTTACCTACCCCTGATGTTTCTCCAGACTTCATTTTCATAATAGCACGCACCATTTCTTCTTGCAGCATTGATAGCTCCAGCTCTGTACTCCCCTTTCTGTTGTTGTCCTGTATTTTAAGTGGCTCTGATGAGATAGACACAGTAATTTCTCCACTAGGTTTAAGAATCTGAAGTGCCTTCCAAAATCTGAGAGGGACGAGATGTGCAGCATGCATTCAGAAGTCTTAAAAAAGCAACACTCCCATGTGGAAACTACAGAATCCAAACCACCAAAAAAAGAAAATCAACCTTCTGCTGGTGGCATCTGACTCAGATCATGAAAATGAACATGTGTTGGTGTGTACTGCTTTGGATCGTTATTGAGCGGAACCTGTCATCAGCATAGATGCATGTCCTCTGGAATGGTGGTTGAAGCATGAAGGGACATGAATCTTTAGCGCATCTGGCACATAAATATCTTGCGACGCCGGCTACAACAGTGCCATGCGAATGCTTATTCTCACTTTCAGGTGACATTGCAAACAAGAAGTGGGCAGCATTATCTCCTGCAAATGTAAACAAACTTGTTTGTCTGAACAAGAAGTAAGACTGATTGGACTTGTAGGCTCTAAAGTTTTACATTTTTAAATTTTTGAACGCAGTTTTTTTCTACATAATTCTACATTTGTAAGTTCAACTTTCAAGATAAAAAGATTGCACTACAGCACTTGTATTAGGTGAACTGAAAAATACTATTTCTTTTGTTTTTTACAGGGCAAATATTTGTAATCAAAAATAAATATAAAGTGAGCACTGTACACTTTGTATTCTGTGTTGTAACTGAAATCAATATATTTGAAAATGTAGAAAACATCCAAAAATATTTAAATACATGGTATTTATTATTAACAGTGCAATTAATCGCAGTTAATTTTTTAAATCACTATTACGTTTTTTTACTCACTTGAAAACCCTCCTAAGAAGTCTGACTACTGTGAACATACCTTTTGTATAATTACTGTGCTTGTAATCCTTAAGTTTCAGACATTTTGCCTTAATGTATTCCCCTACATGTGAGAGCTCATAAAGGCTAGTGCCCATAATGGCACTAGGCTCCTTAGAGTATCTGGGGAAGGTGCATGGTCATGGTGCCCATGCACTTCAGTGCAGTTGGCTCCACGTGAGATAAAAGGTCACACTGAACCTTTCCGAAAGGCAGTGCATCAGCCACTCATTGCTTCCCAGAGCTCTGGGAGGCATCAAATCTGAAGTAAGCAAAAAACCTATGGGAGCACGATCACCCATTGGATGGTGAGCCTCTGCACTACCTATAGCTGGTCACTCTGCATTACAGACACAGCATAGCAATGTGTGTGCATTTGTATACAATTGTAAACATGAATAAGATTAGAAAGAGTGGGCTAACGTGCAGACTGATCCAGAATCTATTCACACCACATAATATGGGATGGAAAGGCCTTTCCCAGCAGTTCACATTTAGCCAGACTCATTATTTACAACATATACGTGATACAGCTACAACTGCAACAAATCTAGTGAGTCTAGAGAACAGATGAGGTTTAAATAATTCAACAAGCAAAGAAAGAGACTAAGTAAAACCCACATGAGCTTGTGCACTGGAGGTTGTTAAAAATTTGTTTTGCCTCTAGAACCACCAACTAGTTTGCACAAGAAAGGAGAAACATGGAAATATTAAACACACAAAATGGTGCTAAAATAACGGTTAGGGGCAAATTTTCCATCATCCTCAATACAGCCTCTAATTTTGTCCAGGCAAATACAGTAATTGTGCACTTACTGTATTTGCATGCAGAAATACTTGTTTGCAAGTGCAAGATTGCCTGGGTATCTATTTATCATACTTGAGATACTTCTAATGCAGCTATCCCCTTAGCACTGAAACACCGTTATTACTGTCCTTAGATAGTAACTGAGAAAAGAATTTGGCCCTAAGAAACACTGAAAAGCACAGGTATTTCACCCCTAATTCAACCCTTTATGACTCTAAGGTTTGATATAGTGAAGGTGGTGAAACACTGGAATGCGTTACCTAGGGAGGTGGTGGAGTCTCCTTCCTTGGAGGTTTTTAAGGCCCGGCTTGACAAAGCCCTGGCTGGGATGATTTAGTTGGGAATTGGTCCTGCTTTGAGCAGGGGGTTGGACTAGATGACCTCTTGAGGTCCCTTCCAACCCTGATATTCTATGATTCTATGATAGTTTTACAGTCTGATCCTTTGTACTTCTCAACTGCTGACCCTCACTATATGGGTGATGTGTAGGGAGCAATAGTCCTATTTCCCATGAGTCTGACTTTTAAGTGTGACAGACTTGGTTTGTGATGACCTGCTCACACATGGCAGGGAGTCCCTATGACAGCTTTAAAAATGTAATTTTGTTTACAAAAATCCATTTAGAGCATCCCAGGATCCTTAACTTCAAATCTCAGTGCTCTATAACCATTCACTTCTTACCTTTACTTTTAATTCTGGTTATTGCCATTGCAACTTTCACGGTAATATATTTCAAGTCAGGGGCTAAGCATTAGAATTCACAAAATATTAACTACTAATCACATCGCAGGATTCATATCAAATACCCTGCATTACATTAGCAAGCGTTATGGTCAGTAACGTTTGCAGGATCGGCCTGAAAGAATCAAAAAGGAATTTTTAAAGCCGTCTAAAAAAATTCTTTGGTGGGGACTTCTAGTTAAATATTTCCACAGAGGAGGAGACAACACTGACTGTTGCAATAAAAATCCTGGGCCAGATTCTCAGATAATTGTAGAGTGTCGTAGAACCATTGACTTCAATTGATCTCATATGTAAAAACCAAAAATACCCTTATTCATGGTATTAATTACACATCAGAATATTACAAATGGAAGAAGATTAAAAACAAATGTACTTCTCACCATTTCTCTCTGCTATCCAACAGCCTGGGGTTTGCCATAGAACAATTTTTAACCCATAGTCTATCTTTTCCATGGTGTGTTGTAATTTATGGCATATTGGGTAACTGTGATGGAATGAAAACTTGGTTGGAAAGTTTTTTTACCCAAATAAACATATGAGCATAGTACTATTTTATGTTACACAAGTACACTTGTAGGGATTATAGAATAGTTTGGAAAGAGTCACAAATCAGCCGAGTAGACTATACAGTGCTTGTGCTGGTAATACAACTTAATAAAAACAATGTAGCTGTGATGTCTAGAAGAATTACTTAATTGCAATCTGCTTCTGTTTTTGCCTAAAGAAAAACAATCATCTAACATGGCAACTGCAGAAGAATGGATGATTAGTTCTTTATCTCTCTGTATTTCTAGGTACTTAATCTGGACCTTATCCCCAAAGTATCTAAATCATTTTACGTGCTAAAAAGTCAAGATACAAAAACAAACAGCTCAGCCATATAAAGATACATGTTGAAATCCTCATCTTATTGAAGCCAATGGGAGTTTTGCTATTGACTTCAGTGGGGCCAGGATTTCATCCCCAGTCTATATATAAACAACCACATTAGAATTGAGATAAACAGGAAACAATTGGGGCTAACTTGTTTATGTTCCTAAATGTCAATTTTTTAGGTTTTATTAAAAATAATTTAATTTAGAATGAAATAAAGTAAGTAACAACGAACCTCATCTACCACTAAAGATATCATTAATTGGTATTTTTTGTAGGTATCAAGGCAGAGATGGGTCTTGAGGAGACATTTAAAGGAGAAGGGGTTGGTAGACTCACATACAAGTGCAGGGAGGGTGTTTCACTTATAACATAGGCACAGTTTGTGCAAGAAGTTGTCAAATGAGTGATTGGGGCTGGTATCACTGACAGAGTGATGGCGGGTGGAGTGAGACAATAGGAGACAAGGCCAGGTAAGCAAGGAGGAGCAGAATTGAAGATGATGATTGAACTTGATGCAGAGAAACAGGGGAGCCAAGAAAAATGGAGTATAAGGTCATAGAGTTCCAACAAACTACACTCCCTGGTTCCGATGTGTGCAAAGTGTCATGAGAATCAGACTTCCCTTATTGTGTGTTTCCGTTTTCAACAGAGGTGTGAAGAAAAAGATGGAAAACAAGCATTTCTTACATTTTGGCTACCCATTTCTCATAAACTGGGAACCTATCAAAATAAATGATCATCTGTGGTGTTAAAGTGATTACTCAGCCTGTGCAAAACTACCATAAGAATAGTTTCTGCTTGTGGGATTGTCAAGGCAACATCATAAATTCCAAATGTTATTTTTCTAACTTGAATCATTCATACTGAGATTCTCAGTATAAAATGGGCTTGATTTAAAGAACCAATAGATTCAGCAATGGCTCCAAACTGCTTGGACTTCAATGTGGGCTGGAACTACTTGGCCATATTACCTTTCTTTATAACATCCATAAAAAGGACAAAATCACAGTAAGCAAAATATTTTAAATGGGAACATAGGAAACCATATACCAAAGGGTGATCCAGAGCCTTCCAGTTTCTCTCAGCTACTTTAATAGTGGTCACATCCCACAACCTTTTGGCTAGGTATTTTTTTTTACTTATTTTCTTTAAAGGTTGACCAAAAACATTTCATGCTGAAGGGCTCTGAAGGCTGCAGTATGCAGCATACCAGTTACTTCAAAGCAAGCTATTCACCCTGCCTCCAGATTCTTTGAAGGTTCTGTAGCTGGAGGGAATGCTAATCTTTATAAAAAATGATCACTTTAAGGGTCTGATCTTGCAATCCTTTACTCATGCGTGCAGTCCTAACTCATAGATGTAACCTACATAGTCAACAGAAGTATTCTCATGAGGAAGTATTATATCTTTACGGTGCAATTCTTCTTCTATTGAAGTTTTTTTTTAATCATTGGCTTCTCTAGCTCTTAGAAATCTGTGAGGGTAGTGGGCTTTCATTTCGAGAGAAGTATTCAAGATTCTAATACTTGATTAAAATCCAAACATGTTATTTTAGCTTGCAAACATATTTAAATAGTACAAAATACTAATCTGGATTATTCCGGGAAATGGAATCCTCCTATGGCATAGAAACCCTCTAGCAAATTCTACACCACCCACCCCAGGCATCAATATCCTGGGTGAGCTCTGGCTGCTATGACAGCCTATAGAAAGCTTGAGATTGTTCATAGCAGTACTGGGAAACTAGCTTGGCATGGGCCAATTCTAATATTGATG